TTCATAAATAGAAAAAATACGCAAAGTTCTTAAAGATGATTTGTTGCTTATATCAATATGGTTCGGAAAGTTGATGTGTATGACAGTATGGCTCAGGAAGTTGCTGTGTATGACAGTATGGCTCAGGAAGTTGATGTGTATGACTGTATGGCTCAGGAAGTTGATGTGTATGACAGTATGGCTCAGGAAGTTGATGTGTATGACTGTATGGCTCAGGAAGTTGATGTGTATGACAGTATGGCTCAGGAAGTTGATGTGTATGACAGTATGGCTCAGGAAGTTGCTGTGTATGACAGTATGGCTCAGGAAGTTGATGTGTATGACAGTATGGCTCAGGAAGTTGCTGTGTATGACAGTATGGCTCAGGAAGTTGATGTGTATGACAGTATGGCTCAGGAAGTTAATGTGTATGACTGTATGGCACAGGAAGTTGATGTGTATGACAGTATGGCTCAGGAAGTTGCTGTGTATGACTGTATGGCTCAGGAAGTTGATGTGTATGACAGTATGGCTCAGGAAGTTGATGTGTATGACAGTATGGCTCAGGAAGTTGATGTGTATGACAGTATGGCTCAGGAAGTTGATGTGTATGACAGTATGGCTCAGGAAGTTGATGTGTATGACAGTATGGCTCAGGAAGTTGATGTGTATGACTGTATGGCTCAGGAAGTTGATGTGTATGACAGTATGGCTCAGGAAGTTCCTGTGTATGACAGTATGGCTCAGGAAGTTCCTGTGTATGACAGTATGGCTCAGGAAGTTAATGTGGTTATCTTGAGGTTATCTTGAGATGATTTCGGGGCTTTTAGTGTCCCCGCGGCCCGGTCCTCGACCAGGCCTCCACCCCCAGGAAGCAGCCCGTGACAGCTGACTAACACCCAGGTACCTATTTACTGCTAGGTAACAGGGGAATAGGGTGAAAGAAACTCTGCCCATTGTTTCCCGCCGGCGCGAGAAACAATGGGCAGAGTATGATATTATGTGTATGATATTATGGCTTTGAAGGTTGCTGTGTATTATGGAAGGGAATCTAAAAGATGTTCCATATGATATGGAAGGGATCGGTATCTTGTTGCATGGGAGAGGATCTGAAAATTGATAAATAATGTCTCACAATTCACAAATAATTGCGTGGACGATGCAAAACGCACTAACGCAAGCTCAAAACGCACTAACGCAAGCTCAAAACGCACTAACGCAAACAGTTCTCGAAGAATGATAATAGGGGACTTCAATCACGGTAAAATAGACTGGGAAAATAACGAACCCCCCCCCCCCGTGGAGTTAACGAGTCATGGAGAACTAATTCATGGACGCGGCAACGAGAAATTTCCTGTTTCTCGTTAACGTATCATTCAAAATACGTCAATAATTCACAAATAACCATTTCCAAAACGCGTTTCAGAATACATCAACGTTTGCGTCGCTCTCTCGTGACGTCAAATAATTGCCGATAATTCCGCCTGAGTGCTTCGATTATACCTCAACAATGGTAGTGACAGGCGCGCTGATTATCATCCAGGCACCCAGTCTCCACCACTGGTAAATGGTGGTTAATTGGCACCCGAATTCTACCACAGGTAATTGGCACTCATTCACCACCACAGGTAACTGGTACTCAGTCTCCCTCACAGGTAACTGGCACCCCAGCCTCCACCACAGGGAACTGGCACCCCAGCCTCCACCACAGGGAACTGGCACCCCAGCCTCCACCACAGGTAACTGGCACCCAGCCTCCACCACAGGGAACTGGCACCCCAGCCTCCACCACAGGTAACTGGCACCCAGCCTCCACCACAGGTAACTGGCACCCAGCCACCACCACAGGTAACTGTCACCCAGCCTCCACCACAGGTAACTTGTCACCCAGCCTCCACCACAGGGAACTGTCACCCAGCCTCCACCACAGGGAACTGTCACCCAGCCTCCACCACAGGTAACTTGTCACCCAGCCTCCACCACAGGTAACTTGTCACCCAGCCTCCACCACAGGTAACTGTCACCCAGCCTCCACCACAGAGAACTGTCACCCAGCCTCCACCACAGGTAACTGTCACCCAGCCTCCACCACAGGTAACTGGCACCCAGCCTCCACCACAGGTAACTGGCACCCCAGCCTCCACCACAGGTAACTGGCACCCAGCCTCCACCACAGGTAACTGTCACCCAGCCTCCACCACAGGTAACTGTCACCCAGCCTCCACCACAGGGAACTGTCACCCAGCCTCCACCACAGGTAACTGTCACCCAGCCTCCACCACAGGTAACTTGTCACCCAGCCTCCACCACAGGGAACTGTCACCCAGCCTCCACCACAGGTAACTGTCACCCAGCCTCCACCACAGGTAACTGTCACCCAGCCTCCACCACAGGTAACTGGCACCCCCAGCCTCCACCACAGGTACTGGCACCCAGCCTCCACCACAGGTAACTGTCACCCAGCCTCCACCACAGGTAACTGTCAACCAGCCTCCACCACAGGGAACTGTCACCCAGCCTCCACCACAGGTAACTGTCACCCAGCCTCCACCACAGGTAACTTGTCACCCAGCCTCCACCACAGGTAACTGTCACCCAGCCTCCACCACAGGTAACTGTCACCCAGCCTCCACCACAGGTAACGTCACCCAGCCTCCACCACAGGTAACTGTCACCCAGCCTCCACCACAGGTAACTGTCACCCAGCCTCCACCACAGGTAACTGTCACCCAACCTCCACCACAGGTAACTGGCACCCAACCTCCACCACAGGGAACTGTCACCCAGCCTCCACCACAGGTAACTGTCACCCAGCCTCCACCACAGGTAACCGTCACCCAGCCTCCACCACAGGTAACTGGCACCCCAGCCACCACCACAGGTAACTGGCACCCCAGCCTCCACCACAGGTAACTGGCACCCCAGCCTCCACCACAGGTAACTGTCACACAGCCTCCACCACAGGTAACTGTCACCCAGCCTCCACCACAGGTATAAACACAGTTCCCCATCAATTAGTCATCCATGCTACTTATTGTAGGACTTTTCACTACAATTATCTAATTGTCTGCAACAATCTCTTTCATCCAGTATCTCTAATTGTGCTTGCGGGGGTTGAGTTACAGCTCTCGGTCCCACCTGAGCCAATTGGGTTCTGGCATATCCACATTGAAAGTCTTAATACTGAATCAATGCTCTTCTCACTTCTCACTACTTGTAGCCAAGTACATGGAAGTGTAGGGAGGTGTAGGGAAGTGTAGGGAAGTGTAGGGGGTGTATGGAAGTGTAGGGGGGTGTAGGGAAGTGTAGGGAAGTGTAGGGAAGTGTAGGGGGTGTATGGAAGTGTAAGGGGGTGTAGGGAAGTGTAGGGGGTGTATGGAAGTGTAGGGGGTGTAGGGAAGTGTAGGGGGGTATGGAAGTGTAGGGGTGTGTAGGGAAGTGTAGGGGGGTGTAGGGAAGTGTTGGGAAGTGTAGGGGGGTGTAGGGAAGTGTAGGGGGGTGTAGGGAAGTGTAGGGGGGTGTAGGGAAGTGTAGGGGGGTGTTGGGAAGTGTAGGGGGTGTATGGAAGTGTAGGGAAGTGTAGGGGGTGTATGGAAGTGTAGGGGGTGTATGGAAGTGTAGGGGTGTGTAGGGAAGTGTAGGGGGGTGTAGGGAAGGTGTGGGAAGTGTAGGGGTGTGTAGGGAGGTGTAGGGGTGTGTAGGGGGTGTAGGGAAGTGTAGGGAAGTGTAGGGAAGTGTAGGGAAGTGTAGGGGGTGTAGGGAAGTATAGGGGTGTGTAGGGAAGTGTAGGGAAGTGTAGGGAAGTGTAGGGAAGTGTAGGGGTGTAGGGAAGTGTAGGGAAGTGTAGGGGTGTAGGGAAGTGTAGGGGTGTAGGGAAGTGTAGGGAAGTGTAGGGGTGTAGGGAAGTGTAGGGAAGTGTAGGGGTGTTGTATTGAAGTGTAGGGGGTGTAGGGAAGTGTAGGGGGGTGTAGGGAAGTGTAAGGGGGTGTAGGGAAGTGTGGGAAGTGAAGGGGGGTGTAGGGAAGTGTAGGGGTGTGTAGGGAAGTGTAGGGAAGTGAAGGGGGGTGTAGGAAGTGTAGGGGGTGTAGGGAAGTGTAGGGGGTGTAGGGAAGTGTAGGGAAGTGTAGGGAAGTGTAGGGGGTGCAGGGAAGTGTAGGGAAGTGTAGGGGGTGTAGGGAAGTGTAGGGAAGTGTAGGGGGTGTAGGGAAGTGTAGGGAAGTGTAGGGGGTGTGTAGGGAAGTTAGGGAAGTGTAGGGGGGTGTAGGGAAGTGTAGGGAAGTGTAGGGAAGTGTAGGGGTGTAGGGAAGTGTAGGGGGGTGTAGGGAAGTGTAGGGAAGTGTAGGGAAGTGTAGGGGGGTGTAGGGAAGTGTAGGGAAGTGTAGGGGGGTGTAGGGAAGTGTAGGGGGTGTAGGGAAGTGTAGGGAAGTGTAGGGAAGTGTAGGGGGTGTAGGGAAGTGTAGGGGGGTGTAGGGAAGTGTAAGGGGGTGTAGGGAAGTGTAGGGAAGTGTAGGGGTGTAGGGAAGTGTAGGGAAGTGTAGGGAAGTGTAGGGAAGTGTAGGGGTGTAGGGAAGTGTAGGGGTGTAGGGAAGTGTAGGGAAGTGTAGGGAAGTGTAGGGGTGTAGGGAAGTGTAGGGGGGTGTAGGGAAGTGTAGGGGTGTAGGGAAGTGTAGGGGTGTAGGGAAGTGTAGGGAAGTGTAGGGAAGTGTAGGGAAGTGTAGGGGTGTAGGGAAGTGTAGGGGGGTGTAGGGAAGTGTAGGGGTGTAGGGAAGTGTAGGGTGTAGGGAAGTGTAGGGAAGTGTAGGGAAGTGTAGGGGTGTAGGGAAGTGTAGGGGGGTGTAGGGAAGTGTAGGGGGGGTGTAGGGAAGTGTAGGGGGGTGTAGGGAAGAGTCAGAAACATAAAGATGTTTATGGTGGTCCTACTTGGGTGTAATGAAACAGACGGAAGGGAGGGGGAACAGACGGAAGGGTGGGGAAAACAGACGAAAGGGTGGAGAAAACAGACGAAAGGGTGGGGGAAAAGAGACGAAAGGGTGGGGGAAAAGAGACAAAAGGGTGGGGGAAAAGAGACGAAAGGGTGAGGGAAAAGAGACAAAAGGGTGGGGAAAAAACAGACGAAAGGGTGTGAGAAAACAAACAGAAGGGTGGGGGAAAAACAGACAGAAGTGCGGGTGAACGAGCAAACGGTCATGTAGACGGAGGCCAGAAGAATCGAACGTGAGTGTTGATATTGACTGAGAAACACAAGAGCCAGTCCGCCACCCCTCTTCGTGAGAGCGGACAGTCACTCACTGCAACTGTTGTTTAAGTGCAATCACTGACTGTAATTGTCGCGAGATTAATGACTAACAACCTTGATGGCCCAATTTGCGGAGTGATCAATGCTACAGCCGCTCAGCCACGGTAGTTAGCGCTCATAATCATCTCTATTGCAACACATTGCAAACGATAAGCACACTCAATCACGCAAACATATGTGGCTTCGTCTTCGCTCACACGCGCGTGCACGCATAGTCAATCACTCACAGGCGCGTGCACCCACAGTCAATCACTCACACACGCGTGCACGCATAGTCAATCACTCACACACACGTGCACCCAGTCACTCACGCGCGTGCATCCACAATCACTCACACACGCGTGCACCCACAGTCAATCACTTTCACGTGTGCACCTACAGTCAATCACCCACACGCGCGTGCACCCACAGTCAATCACCCACACACGCGCGTGCACCCACAATCACGAACACACGCACGTGCGCCCACA